GAAAAAAAGCAGGCATGTTAGTCGAAAAATATATATAAAAATATATACAGTATGTTAACTAACAATTCACGTTCCCGTTAATCCGCAATAATATAGCATCCATACGTGCAAAAAAAAATATTACCAATCGAAAACAAAATGTTTTTTATTTTTTTTTATTTAAAAAAAATCATTAAAAATATTAAATTTACATGTAAAAGAAACATCCTGTACACGCATATTTGAAGAACGGCAACGTCGCAATTTACTTATAAAAGACGGGCCGCGTATGCGGCATTCGATTGATCTACGATTTTAAAGTGTCACCCGACCCCCTCCCCCGAACGTCCGCAAAATTTTATTTTTTAGTATTTACTATTTAGTAATCCCACGCCGCTGACCGGGATCGCACGTCTATTGTTTCCGCATTACTACGTCTACGTATTTTCGTGTGAAAGATGCCGCGTTATCAGTTCAGTGCGCAGGAGTATGTGAATATGGTGCTCATTTATGCTGAGTGTGACTATGATGGTGCACGTGCTCTGAGGATGTATGCTGAGAGGTATCCTAATGCACACCAACCGCGGAATTCTCGTGTAATTGTGAGTGCCCTGGTGCGTATGCGTAATAATGAGCCGGTAGTGCCGCGTCGAACAGGTGGCCCGCGACCCGTGATTTCAGTGCGACAGGAAGAGAACGTGCTAAGGCATTTTGAGGAGGAGCCCGGTTCAAGCACCAGAAGAGCCGGCCGCCTGTTCAATATGAGTCACGTCGCAGTGTTTAAAATATTAAAGAAAAACAAGCAGCATCCGTACTCACTTCAAAAAGTGCACGAAAATAACCGTCGTCGATTGCAACAATGTGTAGACAGAGGAGGTCAGCATATCGAGCAGTAGAAAATCTAGGTAAGTTTTAACATTATTTAAATGTATTATAATACCTTAAACATTTCGAGAACATTAAAAAAAATAACACTAAACGAGTGTGCCACAAAATTAATAAGTTCAGAACTCTTTCCTAAAACTGCTTAACCCCTTACCGCATACGAAACCATATATGGATGACCAAGTTTACATTTTTTTTACAAGCTACTGGTATGTCCGATTTTTAAAATTTAACCAACAACAGATCCGGAATTTCATGGTGAAACGGAATGTTATTAACTCATTCATGTCAAATGTCAGCTGTTAAATATTTTTAAGGTTATGTTGAGCGCGTGCGGCGGAGCAGGTGCAGCGAAATAAGTGTAATTTTTAATTTAAAAAAAAACATATCAAAAAGGTGAGTAAACGGTTGAAAAAAATACCACAGTATTCTTTTATCTTTCTTATAAACGGTGAATGTTTGATTTTTGCTTTGTTTTGCATATTTCGATATAATTATCTACTTTTTCAAAATTGCCATATTTGGCTTCGTATGCATTATGGTCAAAAGTGGTACTGTCATATTTGGCTTGGTATGCATTTAAGGCTTCTTTCTTTTTTGTTCTAGAAATGGACCCAGCACGCTTTTATGGCACTGCAAAGCATGTAAACATCATTCCAGGTGATGGTGACATTAGTGACGATGATGTTGATTCGGATTGTGACGATAATTGTAATATTGGCTCCATTAGTTTAACTCCTAAACGACATATCATTATACCGGAGTCAGAATCAGATTTTTCTGAGGAAGACGACGTCCCTTTGACAAGTTGAGCTTAGTTTCTTGGTTCGATAACAAGAATGTGAATCTTCTTTCAGCCTACGTTGGAAGTGAACCCACAACAACAAAGCGGCGTTACGTTCGCTAAGATAAAGAATATGTTTACATACCTTCACCCCAAGCTGTAGATGTTTATAACCAGCATATGGGAGGAGTGGATTTACTAGATTCTATGCTGGGTTATTATAGAATCCATTTGCGGTCTCGTCCATGGTACAAGAGGATTTTTTTTCACATGGTGGACATGACACTTGTCAATGCTTGGTTGTTATGGCGCCGAATCAATGCTGACTCATACATGCCACTTTATGATTTCAAACTGGCCGTTTCCGAACATTTGCGTAAAGCAGGAAAAGCAGTTATGACCAAGAAACGTGGTCGTCCATCGAGCATTGTTGGAACTCCGACATCCAGCCGGGGTGGCACTCCCTCCCGTATTCCTGAATCTCCAGTTCCCGCAAAAAAGACACGAAAAACGCCAGCTAGGCATCAAGACTTGCCTTTGGCGTCCGTGCGTACCGATGGGATTAGCCATTTTCCGATTTGGAAGAAGAATGCCCGGCAAATATGCCAAAATTGTTCTAAATTTCGTTCTTTTACTTTATGTGAAAAATGTAATGTTTATTTGTGCTATAATGACAAACGCAACTGTTACAAAGAATTTCACGAGGAATAAAATACTTTACACGTAAATGCATACGAAGCCATATTTGACCGAAGCGTATATGGCTAGAATGTATACGAAGCCACATATGGCGTTGATTACTAACTTTTGAATTATAAGCTAATATTTTTTTTTGTTGATTTGATCTCACTACTTAAGCTACAATAAACACATTTTTGCCAAAAAAAAAAATTATTTCATCTCTTTCATAATTCATGCAGCAAGGGGTTAATACCTCCATGTGAACTGTAAATAAATTGTATAATACCACCATGAACTCAAAGGCGCTACCGCCCCACCGCCCCGCGTTCATTACTCGGCCGTTGCGTGCAAATTCTGTCTAATTCTCTGTATTATTATTATAATGTTATTGAAACGTGGCTTAGGTATGAAGGTTGAATTTGTTTTTTTTTTATTTACTGTTTGCGAATAGGTACCTCAGTGACACGTTCCTTAGTCAGCGATACATTTGAGACGGGTAAAGTGTTATTTCTAAAACTAAACATACATTTAAAATGTTTATTTTTACTGTTAACAATCCGACTACGTGTCTTTATAATTCAATATGCCGCCACTACAAAAGGCGCCGCTCGGCATCGTGCGTATTGCGACGTTGCCACTTTCGGCAATGCTACTACGCTAGATACATACGTTCTATTCCGCGCTACATACATATAGGAGGTTTCGAAATTATTGTGAATAAATTATTATTTTTTTATTTAGATTATTTTGTGCTTATTTTTCTATGCTGATATATTAATTTTAATCTATTAGTAATATATATTAACGTGTTCAAGGGAACGCCATTTGCTGCATGACATACTGTATATACAACGTGTAACATAATTAACGCACACCCTGAAAGTAGTTTGATCAGAATCGGATACTGGATCGATTTTGATAGTTTTTTATGTAGGTCT